GTGTATTGATATTTTCTGTAATAAGCAGCTTGTGTGGCTCCGAGATAGTGTGCAAAGTGGTAATGATTTCCCAATTGAAAACCATTTTTATCATGTGTCCTTGAGCAAGGCACTTACCCCCTTAAATTTTCTAGGGGACTTCTGGCACAAAGAAGCTCTCAGGCTTGAATGGTTATAGCTTTATGACTGCTGTGGTGGCACTAACAATTGACACATATGCTCCTTCAGACTTCCAAATGTGGATCAACGCACATTTAAAGAGAAAAGACAAATTGCAGTGTTGTCCTTATCTCTATATGTCAAAGTCAGAGATTATTACAAGTGTTTAAAGAGCTAGATGTGTTTGATCTCATGCCATTAAGGGGTCATATGGATTAGCCGTGGTTTTCCACAGTGCTGGTGCAAAGAGAGTGGCTGTGGTTAAAGGGACCGGTGAAAATCGTCTAAAGAATAATTTACAACAGCCATAAAGAAAGCAATGTCAGGTTTTCCATCTCTGTAAAGCTGGGCTTGAGCTGTATGTTCCATTAGAAGCAGCCAAACACATTTCCATGTTAGTTTTGTTTTAAAAAGCGTCTCTGATCACTGCAAATGTTCCGTCAATCCACCTGGAGAATTTAGGATGCCAAAACCTGGGTCATTTGAAAAATGACTTCTTGCTTTTTTGTGTATATTATTAAAGAAATCAGAAGTGCAGTGCTTTTAAACAAGAAATGCAAAGTGATGGCAGCTGCAAATACAATTATTACAATTCTGCATCACATGCGACTTTAAATGTTTTAAAATCACATGAGACTGAAGAAGACTTTTTAAACTTGTATTTATTTAGCTTAGTTTCATTGAAAAGCAACCAGATCACCTTTACACCTGGGAGTTGCTCAGAATGACCACAGGCTGACCTACTGGCTACCGAGCAGTCGGGGTTAAGAGCCTTCCATGGTGATGAGGTAGGGGTGAGCACTTTGCTTTTTCACCTGTCCCACCCAGATTTAACCCTGCCAGGACTGAACCATTGATCTTGCAGTCACACACTCACCTCTCCAACTTTAAGACAACCACAGAACGTAATGTTTTTCTCAATAACTGTGTTTAAGGAGTCTAGCTCCACACTAAACAGCTACAATTGTCATTCTCTGTGTCCTTTTCTCAGAAGTGAGGGGTCCTTTGTAATTGCCCTCACTTCTTCAAGAGCATCCTTGTTTTCCAATCTGCTTGTACTGTATGTGCAGAACTGCAGTATGGCTATATTTGTGAGGACCGTTTTGAGTTTTAAACCTTGGGAGTAAGGACATTTTGACTGAGCTTCACTTTCTGACACACCTTCAAAGGGTGTTTGAGGCTTAAGACTAAAGGTTAGGGTTGGGCATTTAGTTGTGGTTAAGGTTTGGGAAAGGGGCTAGGGAATGCATTATGTCAATGAGTGTGCTCGCAATGATGGAAGTAAGAACATGTGTGCCTTTGTCTGTGTGTGCTTCATTTCACAGCACAGCTGCAGAGGCTGAAGTCACACATTCTGACTCAAGAGGGGCTTAGCAGTTCATTAACGGATAGAACAAAGTAAGCTGAGAAACAGCAGTGACTACTAACACTGGCAGAGGTAGAGAGCATCAGCCATGTTGTCACTGTTTGGTGGTTGTGCTGTACTTTTATGATACAGGTAGCCTCACTTCGGCCGAAATAGACAAAACAATATTATGTTACCTGAGTTGAAAAGTAATGTTTCTGCAGAGGTGCTGTCAACACAAGTAGAGGCAGGCAGTGTTGCTTCTCTTACTTACCTCTATATAAAACATTTGTTGAATGTACAGCATATGACTGTCTTGGGAGAGGGAGCCTGCTTCTGTTGTTCTTCCTTTGTAATTTGTGCTTTTGGGTTTTCTGAATGTACAAACTTGATGAGCTTCATTAGATGCAGCTCTGTCTATACACTAATATATCAAGTCTAAATTCTGGTCGATGATGTACGCACTTTGAGCTTTGATAGATCTGTGACAGAAGACCACGAAGTCTTTCGAGGGCTCAGATTTCTTATGAAATTGAAAAACAATTTTTAATATAAATGATGTGTGACTAAGAAAAGAAAATACAGACCTTCAAACCTTCATAGTATATAAATCAGACCTGTCTCTAGAAATATTGTAAGATCATTAGTCTTAATCTTCACAGTTTGCTTTTCATATTTCTCCTT